CTCATAAAAAGCCAAAAATGATATGGCTGTATATCAGCGATATGGTGGCGCCCACCACACCACCACCACAGCCCAAAATGATGACAGCAATATGAACTGGTGGCCGCCACGACGGTGTATGGTATGGTATGGTATATGGGTGTGACCGACCAGTCGAATTTATGCATCCTTTGTATGTTTGGCCAAAAGCAAAACAGCAAAAAAAGCCAGCAAAGAAAGAAACGGAAAACGGCCAAAGGAAACGGCTCAGGAATGAGCAACAGATGCCAAAGAAACCATGGGGACAGGTTATTAACCAGTTCTATTTGTCTTTGTCTGGGGAACTTCATCGCCCAGCGCCCATCTCCTTCTCCATTCCCATATCTATCTCTGTCTATCTGTTTTTCCTCAATGAATTCGGAGAACTTATCTCGAAACTCACTTGACTATGGAATGCCAAGTGCTATCGGGAATGTTGGGGCCAACCCAAGTTGGATGCCCCATTGTCGAGACGTTACCATTTATCAGCTTTCTTATATAGATCTTCATTAAAAGTGGCGTCTTTGTGCACGTTTATTTTTAATTTCTGCAATAAATCATCTTTGAACTTAATAGAACCAGAGTTCCGGTGAAAATAAACATGCTCTTAGGAAATAAATTCAAATTATTGTAGTTAGTTGGCCTTGTATTATTTAAAAAATCACATTATCAATACAAAAAACCGTTGTAATCGTATCGGAGGTAACTATATCAACCTGTTCTTCGTTCCATATCATCGATATCAGGGTCCAAGCATCTTTATCAACTGCTCCGACATTTCCGTACCGAACATCTTCATCTCGTGAAGATAACATTCCCGTCTTTCATCATCCCAGTATTGTAGCCATCATATACTTAAACCTCGCAATGTGTCAACAAGTGGTACATTCTTGTTCATAACTTAACGGAGTGAACGGAAGAACTTAACTTAACTCACTTAATTTCCGTGAATCCGGTTTATCTATCTTCTGGTGCGGTAAACAACAGCACTGCAAAGTGTTGAACGGAAGTGAAAGATACATATATCTTTAAAACGAAATCATCCATCGATTAGATGACTGACTTCATTTAAGATTCGAATTCCAATCTCAACTTGATATTCATTGATAAAATTCCAAGAGTGATTTACCCTTATCCACTCGCAACGAGATATTTTATTCATATGTGCATATTCATTTATATTTATTATTTCTGTGAATCGATTGGCAATTCCAGATCTGCGTTTTTGCCATTTACAAATTGCTATTATTAGTTTCGTTTTAATTGCCGTTGGGCATGAGTAATAATTGGCTAAGGAAATCACCTGCTGTAGTTGTTTTTTGTTTTTGCGGATTTCTTTATTGCAATTTGCTTTAATCAAACTAAAGAAATACTTAAACTGGCGCCTGATGTTGTTGTTTACAGTGGGTCTTTGATATGATAACAATTCATATATTGGTTTCTTTATGACTAAGCTTGTAGCAAAACAATACTACTAATACTGAAAATCTACTACTAGTACTAAAAACATACTACTAATACTAAAAACATACTACAAATACTAAAAACATACTATAAATAACAAAAAACATATTTCTAATACTAAAAACATACTACTTATACTAAAAAATACCCAATCAAGTATTAATCAATGTAAAAATTGTAATTTTAAATGATGTGGTTTTTCTATAGAAAATCAAAGCAAATAGATCTTGATTTTTGGTAAGAGAAACGTATGTGCACGAAAGTTTCCCATAATTAAGCTGATAAGGGGAATCCCCATAGCGAGACAAAGGAACACTATGTGTGAATCCACCGAACAAAACCCGATCGTATGACAAACACCTACGTATCTTGTAAAGTGAAAACAAAAATGCGACCAATATTTATGGTACTTTTTATTTGCCTTTCGAGATAGCTCAATTTTAAAGCCAAACCCATACCAATTGTCATAAAAACGGGTTACGTGGTCAAGTCCAGTGCCTCGCAAACTGTCGCCTGATAATGGAGGCAAACAGGGCGTCATCGCTGGCGCCGGTCTTTGTCTTTGTCCCGCCTGGCACTATAAAAAAAGTCCAACTAATATACCTACAAGTGAGTTGAAAAGGGGGTGGCACGGGGGTTTCACTCTTATCAAAGAGCCGGCAGCGCGCCGTTTGGCCAATTTAATTTGTTACACATTGTCAAGTGTTTTCCCCCGCCCATGGCAAAAAGGGGGGAGTGGGAAGTTGGAAGGGGGCGGTCCACTCACATGCGAAACTTCCATTGAAAACGCTACGCAATAAAAATAATTTCATGGTCAACAAACAAACACACAAACTCACGCAAAGATAGCCCCTACCCAACTGAAAACTAACGCAAAAAATTGCTTTGTCCCCAAAATGTACAAATATTTGATTTTTTTGTTTTTCTTTGTAGTACGTACTTGGTTTTTTCAAGTGCGCACTGCCCCCACCCATAAAAAAATATTAAGATGAGCCTACTGCCGTGAGAAATAATCTATAAAACATTTATTTCTAAATGTTTACAATAATTCATTTGCTTGAATGGGCTTAGCAGTTCTACCGATTTGACTGGACCGCAAAACTTTATAAACAATATGTTATATAAGGTTGACACAAATGTCCTAATGGTCTATTAGTTAGTTATACAACTTTTCAAACGCTAAGCAGCTTATAAAGATTGGGACTTCAAGTGGCAAAAGTTTAATTGGAGATCCTTTGCAAAGTGGGAAATAGGTATTATACTAAGATCAAATAGTATTTAGTATTTTCTAACGCTAATAAGAAAACAACAGTTTATTAAAACTTTTTTTATAAACCTAGTTAAATCAATAAATAGTATAACAAATAATTGGTTTAGTTAGTTAGTGGGGTAGTAATCACACTTTAAAGATAAGGCACGGAATTTTTGAGAAACACATGCTATATGTGTCTAAACTACTCCCATAAATGTATAGATTTAAGGATTTTTAATGATATCAGTTAGGTTTTTTGTTGTTTTTAAGTATTTAACCTGAATCTAGGGCTTCGATTATGATGTATTAGTTACTTGAATTGCAAGCCACTGAAACCGGTTGACCAAAAAAAAAAAACGTTTTCCCTGCCAAAGAAAAAAATGTGTAAAAAAAAAAGAGTCAATTTGCACAAAGTTAATAAATTACAGCATTGACTGCCTTTGTTGCGGTTGTTGTTGCCACTACTGCTTTTTTTTTTTGGTGTTGCTCTTGGGTTAAATTTTAAAATTTCGATTTCGCTGTGACTGTCGGCTGATGACGTAAGTTGCGTGCGACGTCAGTTGACCTTGGTACACTTAACAGCAGCAACATCAGCCATGAGTAACAACAAAGTCAACAAATAGGCTCGACTCCAAAAGTTGGTCTTTTTTCGGTTTAGTTTTTGGGTTGCCTCCATTTCTTTTATAAATTTTTTGGTTTGGTTGCTAGGCTGAGGTTATTTCTTCTTTTTTTTTTTTTTTTTGGGAGGGAAACTTGACGAGAGGTTGCATAAGGTCCCATGGCACGTCAAATGGCAAAGGGAAAGTGGGACGATGAGGCTCGTCATCCCCTGATCTTCATCATCATCATCATCTCGGCGGTATCCATCCACAATTCAGTTTCTTCAAATTGAGGCTGAAACTGAAACTAAAGCGAACTTTTGTCGCCGACTTCATTTGAATATTATTGGGTCACTGTGTCAGAGCAGCGGAGTCAATAAAAATTAAAACATGACCCTCTGTAACGGCCCCCTCATTCGCACATGTTGTTACTGAACAGTGGCTGTCGGAAAAATAGCAATTTACTTAAGGAATTTGCAACACCATTATATAATTTCGTACATTTTTAAGTACTAAAAAATAATCATTTTATATATATTTAGTTCGGTTAATTTTGATTTATCTACCAAGAAGTTCGCTTGTATTTTTGGTATAGTACTTAAAAATTTGTTATACTCTCATTAATAAATTCCCTTTAAAGATCATACGAATACTAATTGCTTGACCGCCATTGTACGTGCATATGCAATGGAAATGATTAATTAACCCAGACCCAGACCTCTAAAAACAAAAATCAAACTTCGAACTGAGTCGCAGTATATGTAGTATGCTTATATGTACTGGTATTATATATACTGCCTTTTGTTTGCTGCTCTTAATTTTTCACAATTACTTTTCATTTCACTTGTTTTCTCATAACAGTTTGATAGTTAATTCCCTGGAATCCATACTTTTTATCCCTTTATTTTAGTTCTGTGACGCAACTCGAGGCGTTGACTTTACAGCCTGGTTTTTTTTTTATTTTTTTTGCAAATATTTGAACGGAACACAAAGGCGTCGCATTGAATCACGTAGAATAACAACAGCGCCAGAAATAATACGTTCTGAAAAGAAGGGGGTTTGTGAATAGTTGGTCTAGGTCTCGATAGGGGAAGGGAATTACGGGGCGTAATTCATCTGGTTGGAATGCGGTGTGTCTTTATGTAACTCTGATTAAAAGGGGGTTGTCGAGTTGTAAGCCCTGAAATAAATACTATAGGAAAAAACTAATTTAATTACAAAATATATGCACAGAGAATGGATCAATTAGCAGTTGACTTGGAACATTTGCTATACAATGTTGAACGATCATCCATAAAGAATAATAATAATGACGATTTCAAATGATAAGATAGATAGATAGAAATTCACTAATTTTTTATTTACTATAGTTTTATTTACTATTTTTTATTTATTATTTTTTCTTTTATTATTTGTTCTTTAATTTTGTTTTGCTTTTTTAATTTATTTAAAATTGCTATTTTGGATTTTTTTATTTTGTGTATTTATTTACTTAACCTTTTTTATTATTCTTTAAGATCCGTATTTATTTATCTTTTTGTTTAAGATACATATTCTCAAACCTAATAAAACAGCATAGGGTCTAGAATTAAGCAATTTACTTGTAGTACTAAGACTGTTTTTAAATATGATAATGGTTATAACAATTATCCCTCTTTTCCTTGCAGGCTCAGCGTCCCGAGAACACGGTTATGCAAGCGCTGGAATCGCTTAACGACTCGCAGGTTAATGACTTTCTTAGCGGCAAGACCCCGCTTAACCTGAGCATGCGCCTCGGCGACCACATGATGCTCATCCAGCTGCAGCTGAGCACGGTCAATCCGGCGGGCGGCGGTGCCACAGTGGCCACGGCCAGCGGTGGTGCTAGTGGTTCCACCAGCACCACAGCTGCTGCTGCCGTCAACACAACGTCATCGGCGACCGCCATGCCAGCTGGTACTGGCTGCTCCAGCGCCACATCCTCCTCTTCGTCCTCCTCCTCCTCCTCATCGTCGGTGGTGGCAGGAGGCAGCGGAAGCACTGGAGCCGGTGGCGCCACCACCTCGTCGTCATCCACATCCTCGTCATCATCGTCGACGAGGACGCGCTCTTCTGGCCAGCGATCAAGTGGAAGAATCGGCCATGGACATGTCCACAGCCACCAGCATCCGAGTCTACATGCTGTCAACATGCATGACATGGGCCACAGACACGGTCATGGTCATGGCCACAGCCACGGACATGGACATGGGCACAGCCATCACCATCATCATCACCACCATCACCATCATTATCACAACGCTTCGGCCGTGGCTGCGGGCAGCGGCGGTGGGATGTCCTCGTTGCGCAAGATGTACGGCGATTTGCCCAGCTCATCTGGAGCAGCTGGTTCTGGGGCACCTGGAACTGGCACTGGCCAGGCCCAAAGTTCGTCCACGCTCAATGGACCCGATCTCACCAAGCTGCTGATCAAGGGCGGCATTCAGAACATCATGCAGAAGAGTTTCGCCTTGAAGGAGGCAAGCGGTGGTGCTGCAACTCGTCCTGTGGCCAATGGTGGATCCGGCTCGAGTCCGGGCAAGCCGGTGCTGGAGCAGTCGCCCATCAAATCGCTGTCGAATCTCGTGTCCAGTCCCATCAAGATGACGGCCATCAAAAACATTCCCCTGCCCACAACGGCTGCCGCCAGTTCCAGTTCCAGCTCGAGTTGCAGCTGCAGCTCTAGCTCTTCGGCCTCCGCATCATCGTCATCCTCTTCCAGTGGAGCCTGCACCACCATTGGCGGCTGCCAGCAGGATCCCATAGCTGCCAAGCTGACCTCATGCTTGTGCACACGTCTACCCACGCCGTCAGTGGCTCCGCCGGTGGCCTCCCTGGTCTCACCCAGTGCTCCTCTAACCAGATCCGGCTCCACGAGCTCATCCGGCAAGTGCCAGGAATCGAGTTGCAGTGGGGCGAGTGCCGGATACGCAGCACGTTCGACTGCCTCGGGCGCAGGCGTCACCTTCTCGGGCAATTCGATGCTGCACAAGACGGGTAATAATCGCATCACCAGGACCAAGCATCGTCACTATCACGGACATGGCCACAGTCACGGACATGGACATGGTCATAGTAGCAGCGGCAGCAGCAGTAGCAGTAGCCACTTTTACCATCACGGCTGTGCCGGCAACCAGTCTTCGGTTAACGCAGCCGCCATAGCCTCGTCTTCCTCATCCTCTTCCTCCTCATCGTCGTCCTCCTCGTCGCGTCGCAAGCTGGAGCAGGCCATGACAGCCGGAGCAGGAGGAGGAGGAGGAGGAGGAGCAGGATCAGCAGCCACAACCACAACGGCAGCGGCAACGGTGGCCCTCCCAGCCAGCGCCACCGCCACCGAAGCCGACGACTCCCTGCTGGGTGTGTCGGACACCAGAACTCTGGCCGAGGCATCGCGAAATCTCACCCAGACATTGCGCAAACTCTCCAAGGAGGTGTTCACCCACAAGATCGATCTATCCGGGGCCGGCGTGGTGACCAGCAGCCGTAGCTCCAGCAGTGGAACAGCCTCAAGTGGATCGGCAAGTGGCGAGGAGGCACCGCGCAAGGGCGGATCGGGAGCCGTAATCGAGTCGATGAAGAACCACGGCAAGGGCATCTATTCGGGTACCTTCTCGGGCACTCTGAATCCGGCGCTGCAGGATCGCTATGGACGACCCAAACGCGACATCTCCACCGTGATCCACATTCTCAACGACCTGCTGAGTGCCACACCGCAATATGGACGTGGTGCCCGCATCAGCTTCGAGGCCCCCACAACTGGATCGGTCTCGGGATCTAGTTCGGGATCCGGCAGCAGTGGATCCACCTCAACGACGTCCTCCAGCGGGGGAATGCATCACGGATCACGCAGCAAAATGGTAAGTATAGTATAACTAACTAAATTGCAAAGCACAATTTGCTAATACCTTACCGTACTTGCAGTACTCTTCCAAGCACCACAATTGCGCCAAGTGCAACAGTCGCGCCCAGCAGCAGCAGCAGCAGCAACAACAACAACAACAACAACAACAGCAGCAGTCGGCGGCTCTGGCCACCGGAGCCGGAGGAAGTTGCTCCTTCCGCGACTGTCCCAGCTATCACTCCTCCTCCGCCGCCGCTGGCGCCTCAAAGGCGTCCGGCAGCTCCAAGTCTTCGTCTCACAGCTGCTGCCAGGCTGAGCCAGCAAGCTCACTGGCCAGTCAAACCAACGGCTGCAGCTGTCGCTATCGCCGGGATGATGGACAGGGACAGGGAGAACGGGAGCGTGAGCACACGTGCCAGAAGTGTACCGTGGAGCTGGCCAACATGAAGACCCGCTCGAAGATGGACCAGCTGCGCCTGGTGATGCAGCAGCACAAGCAGAAGCGAGAGGCGCGCAAGCTGAAGAGCGGCCCCTATGCCACGCCCGGCACAGCTTCGGCGGCCGAGAACCTCTCCTCGACGGCAGCCGGCGGTACAGCCGCCGTTTCAATGGGTGGAGCGGCAGCCCAGTACAGTGCCGTGAGCGCCCTGGTGGCCACGCCCCTGCAACAAGCCGCTGCGCCCGTCCAGGCGGGGAAAGCTGCACCCGCGAGCAACATCACAGGCAACAACAACAACAGCAGCAGCAACACCAATGCCAACAGCAACACTTCGACGGCACCCGCAACAGCAGCCGCCGCAGCAGCAACGGCAGCACCACCCAGCGAAGTCTCCCCCAACCACATTGTGGAGGAGGTGGATACGGCGGCCTAAAGGCAGCGGCACCACCATCAGCTGGAGCAACCACCAGCCCCGCTGACATTATCCTATTTTGTAGCATTTACTAGTTTACGCAGCAGCAACAAAGAAAGAAGATCAGAGGAGAGATGAAGATGAAGATGAAGATGGTTAGGGGATTTGAAGATGGAGATGGAAGATGGAGATGAAGACGCAGGACCAGTAGAAGCAGAATGGGCAAACAAGAGAAACTAGAACCACAACTAAAGCTTATATTAATCTAGAGTTAGTGCATAACAACACCAATTCTTATGTTCGAACACCCGCTCGTTCAATATTCCCACCTTCAAAATGAGGCAAAAGGGGAATGGGAGCGCCCGGAAAGTCGATAAGCTGTTAAATTAATTTTAAGATCCTTTAACACACACCCTCTTCAGTCCATGCCAACAAATTTTGGAAACACTTGGAGTGAATAATTCAGCTTCTGGAGGCGAAATCCTTTAATGTTTTGTAAATTAAATTTAGTGAAATTTTTTGTGTGCATCCCAGGCAAACGCAAATTCAATTGCGAAAAATCCAGCAAGAGCGGAAAAAAACAAAGAAAGAAACGCGAATCATAAGAAAAAGGAAAGAAAAAACCTATTATGGAAATGATTAATATAGATTTAAATGTAAAACGTATACACACACAGACTATGCTGAATGAATTGTAAGCCAAAGCGGTGGCAAATTTTGGTAGAACTAAAACGAAATTTAGATTTAATTTTAGACACACCAAATCTAACACACACACAACACGATCACACACACACACCTGGCTTTGGCAGCTTTATGTTATGTTTAACTTTAATCAACGACAGAAAGAAAATCTGCACATGCAAATGCGACTGCAAAGTGGCGCTTTAACCTAATTTGCCTTAATAGAAAATCGTTTTTCACCTATTACTTTTTTTTGTATACTTTATCACCAAGAATGTGTTTCGAAACGCGCCGGGGAAAAAACGAGCGACGAATTGAATTTTGTTCACCTACACCTATACTATTGAATTAGTTAGTAAGACTATGTTTTCTATTCATTTTACAATTACCTTTACACGTATAATTACCGATTGGATTAGTTTAATAAGTTGCGCAACAGAAGCGTCTAAGAAGCAGCAAGTAACGCTAACTTAGCTGTAGAATTATAATTTAAACACAAGCAATTACTATTTTTTTGTCCTACACTAACTATTATCCAATTCAAATAATGCAATTAGTTCTAGGCGAGTTTAACTTTTGAGTTGGTTTCATTTGTCTTTGCCTTGTGTGCACTACAACTACTTGATTTCAATAAATGTTTAGTAAATGGTTTAGTTAACTAAATTATACTTTGTTTATTATTTTCGTTGGATTTCGGTTGCTTTATTGTTATTATTATTATTTTCAGCTTATTTTCGGGCTGCGTCTTGTGCAATACAACCACACTCTAGACAAAAACACACTCGTAAACGAATAAGAGATCGAATGAGCAAGTGAACATCAAGTATTTTGATTTGATTGACTCTTTTTAGAAATGATGTGCCAATTGCAAATCCAAATACATGTGCGTATATATGTGGAACCCTAGTAAGAATTGTAAATTATATATATATATATATAAATGTATACCCTATACCTAACCTATATATAACCTCCTCACACACACACACTCGAGAAGCAAGAGGAGTATCGAACTAATTGAAACTTTTTATCAAAGAAAAACCCAACTTGACAGACATATAAAGGCTTCAAGAAATATGTTTGTAAGTCGTAGTTATTAAGTGCTAAGTAAAAGTTATGTGCAATTTATACAAACATCCGTTTCTGTTTCTATAGTTTCCCTTCTATACCCCTATTTATATATCTATATTCGTAAAGCTTTCCATCTATCTCTACATAACGAATTCGGTAGTTATATTAGCATTAGGAGACACATAAGTTCGATGTACGATAACAAATCTAGAGTTAGGCTTAGACGAAGGGCACCAAAGGCAGGATATATCGATAAGGATGAGGAAAAAGAATGGATGAACAGAATGGAAGAAAAAGGCATTGGAATGTGGGAATCGGAAGACGGAGGAACGCTGAGACAGGACACTATCATCATATTGGGTGGCTTTGCAAGGGTATTACTTTGGTTCAGATGGGATTTCGGTTAGATTGATTGATTGATTCGGACTCGGTTGGATAATTTCAGCATATCTGCGCGATTTTCTAACAAGTACAAACACACAAACGATGAGATTTTTTACATATATAACATAGTTCAAATATTTACACACACCCTCAATTCACTCGATAAGAAATTTAACCCAAAACATATGCGCAACACTTGCTGAAAACGAAAAAGAAACACTTACAATTATAAATTCTATGTAAAAAAACAAATTTTGAATTGTAAACTAAATTAAATTTTTGTCGTATTTATTTTGAATAGTTAAAATTTATCCAAAATGAAGTCCCAAGCCCAAAAAAATCTCGTATATATATATATATATTCATCCATATATATTATATATAGATATATATACACATATATTTTTGAATTGACATTTTGCGTCTTTTTTGTTGACATCTACTTAATCATAAAAATCGATTATTATCAAAGCAAAATTAATGAAATTAGCTAAATTATTACAGGCCCTCGAGCTGAGAAACAGTTGAGAACATCCAACTGCGAGTCGAAAATGTTCTCCACTCACGTTCCCCACAAACTTAAAATACTTAAAAATGTATAAAAACGATGTAGAAGATCCAGGATATTGGATGAAAGTTTATATGGTAACCAATAGGTGTTAAGTGGGTTCGCATCCGGCGAACTTAGATAAATTTTAATGCAAGTTTCTTAAGAACTTGTGGGTAAACAGAACACGAATGTTTCAACCTCCGGAAATGGGAGCTCTAAGATCTGAAAAAGTTTCGTAACCAAATGTTCGAAGTCAAACGGAGTTCCATCGAATGCATTTCGATGGCTTTGTTGTTTTTGACATGGAAAGCGGAAATGGCTTCGCCATTTTTTTTTTTGGGAAAGTGCACACTAACACACGCATATAGAGAAAACATACATACTAATAAGATGAAAAATTAATGGTCAACTTGTTTGTCATGAAAAAATCCAATTTTGATTGTTGTGTGTGCTGATTAAATGACCGTGAACATATTACTTATATACACAAATATATATATATAGATGCATATACATATAGATATACACACTTTGCCATAGCCAAAACCGGAAGAATGAACTTGAAATAAAAGTCGGGAATCAATTTCATACAATTGCATGTATAAAATGATACAAAGTAAGCAAATGAAACAATGCAAGTAAAAGTATTCGTCAATAAACATTATTTCCAAACACAGTAACCGAAAGGTATTAAGCGTATTAATGGGGAAAGGAAGGGTTTTGGGCTTGATTCCAATTTAATCTTAATTTTTGAAAGATTTATTTATTAAATGAGGTAAGTACATTATTAAAAATTTTTTTTTTTTAATAACAAAAAGTTTCAAAACAACAGAGTTATAGCCAAACTATCAAGTGAACGATTTATCTAAAATGGCAAACGTAAAAACATTTAGTTATCATCAAATGTCTAGTCGCTGAACGAAGGAATTTGGAAAATTTCGGTTACATTTCGGGAAAACATTCTGTGATTTGGCTGGCAGAGAGGTCAAGGTAGGAATGTCATACCTCGTTGAGCTTAGTTAGTTTAATTTCCATTTTAGGCAGGCAGATTCTAGGGATTCTTGCGCAAGGTTAATATTTAAAAAGCCCAACCGTTCAAAGTGAAATAAAACATACCAGTACTAAGCACAAAGTACCACCAAACATTTCCAGAACCATTATTAAATAAAACTCATGAAAGTCTTTTTTCCATTTTCTGTTTATTATGCCCAATTTTTGGTTTTATATTTTTGTTATGCATGTGATTATATATTCTTTTATTTATTCATTCTGTTTTCGGTTTTTTGGGTTTAGTTTGCCTTTACAAATAATCATCGTTAATCATCGTTCTTATATAATTTCTATGCAATTAGCCCGTTTTAATAAATATTTAATATATTCATTAAATTTGTTATGCAATTTCACATTCCATATAAATAATGTACACCAAAAAAAAAAAAACAATTCATTAAATATTAGTTGTTGTATGCATTTGTTTCGGTTTCCTGTCATCTCATTGGTTTGCTGAAGCAGTTTTTAATGATCTGTGTTTTACGTTTATTTTTGTATAATTTTGGTTTTTTTTAGATTTTTGGTGGGCGTGGGCGTGGCCCTTGCCAAGCAGCGGAAATGAGGCCGAAAAGTCGTTCAATTCACAAACATCAAGCAAATGCCCCGTTGCCGTTACATAATTAAATCGTACTGGTAGTTAATAATAGTTCTCTTAGTGACTGCTGATGCCGCTTGCTTGTGGATTGCATTTGGGGCCAATAGCGAGTATTTTACACATACATATACACACAAAGAAATGCAATTCTCCCTTTCTGTCTGTCTATATTTCTGTTCCTGTTGCCGTCTCTTTCTGTTCGAGTCTAGTCTACGTATGTAGCTCTAAAATGCGGGTCTAGGTGTACATACATACATATGTTTGTTGTAAGCTTTCCTGGTTCTATCCCGTCTCTTTCTAATTATTATGGCTTATAACGGGGGTCTAACTCTGTCTCTTTCTTCACCGGCCTTCCCTCTCTCTTTTCTCCCCCTCCTGTTATCCCTTTCTAATCTGTCTCTATATCTATCAACTTGTTTAACGAGTAGTAGCACAATTTTTGGACGAAGATGGTTGAAATCGAAGCGTCTAAGTGAGTGTGAGTGTAGGTGTCTGCTAAACTAAATCCTCTATGGGGGGAATATGTATTTGTGGCGGGGTGTAAAGCGCTCCTCAATTTACACTTTGCATACATTACGATCTGGCTATATCCGTTAAATAACTATCAAAATTCTCGGCTATGGGTGCGAGTAGAAAACGAAACGCTGCAGTTACAATATCAATTTCCATTTCCATATCCATTTCCTATCTGCCTCAAGCCTTCTATTCTTCTCCGCCCTCTATTTTGTTATATAAATATATTTTTGGGGGTGGTGCTATATAGTGTGTGGATTATATATACTATATCAAAAGAGCTGCCTGCCTCCTGTCTGTATTTGAATCTCGTTTGGGTCTTTTGGTTGTTAGATTTCTGTTCTTTTTTTTGTTGGTTTTTACAATAAGTATGGGTAAGCATATATATCGGGGTCGTTACTAGCTTCAGTATACCTTGACTAATGTCGCCGTTCAACTAAGCTAAGGACGTTTTCGCAAAAAGGTCATTGTGTTCATATATATATATATATTTATGTATATATGTATGTACTGGCCGATGGCCCGATGTCACACACATTATTAACTATTATTACTAAGCTTTGCAAAAAGGCGTGCCATGTGTGTTAGTTATCGCTTCCTCTTATTTGTCGTAGTAGCTGCTCTTAACTCGCCTCCGATCGAACTTTGTCTAGTTTACTCACAAAAAAAAATCGATACACTCGTGTGTAATATATATGTTAAGCATATATCAATATATATATATATATAGGTACACACGCATATACATACATATATTTACTCTCTCTCTATCAATCTTTCTATATGAATAGGTATATATACTTAATATGGTAATATCCTTGTAAGGTTTTTTTTATAGTTAACAATAATCGCCGTTTATTATTCTCCCGCAGGCTTAAATATATATGGGATTCTCCTGACCAGTGAGCAGGCGGAACATGGACGTGGGCATCGTCTTCATGAGGATCTGCAATGGATGGGTAGTTAGTTTCGATGACATACTTAATGATTCGATTAGTACCTCTCCCACTGATGTGGCCAGCAAGTTGACGATCTTCTCGTGGGGCACAGCCACCACGCTCTGGTTGTTTATCTCGATGATGCGATGACCCACACGAACACCACCCCTTTCCGCAATGCCGCCACGCAGGAGACTGCAGATCTGCAAGTTGAGATATAGATAGTTAAAGAAAGATCTCAAGACTGTATCTCATATTTGGGATACACTTTCATGACCCCAAAAGGTACCCATTAGATGGTGTAATACTTGGCATAGCCCCTAACCCAACTCACCACTCCATTCTGAACGCTGAATCCAAGCTGGTACTTGGTCTCCGGCCGCTTGATCTTCACCTCGACGACGGGGGCACAGGGCACCACCGTGAACTTGACCACCGTCTGGTTCTTGGTGTTCTTGATGTACGTCTGGCAGGTGGAGAGCGGCAGGCCCACGAGGCTCAGCCCGTTGATGGCTATCAACTGGTCGCCGATGTTGAGCTGACCACATCGGGCGGCTGCTCCCGAACTCATCAGATTGGCAATCACCACGGTGGGCAGCATGGATCCCCAGCCGCTCTCCACGATCACCACTCCGAGGATCTCACCCTTGGACTTCGGCACCACCACCTCCTTCTGCAGCTCCTTCTTGGCAAAGATCTCCAGCTCGTCGCCGAAGATCTCCTGGCTGTTGAGCACCTCCTGGTAGTCCATCTCCTTGACAAAGCGATGGTCCTCGATCCCATTGGCCTTGAGGAACTCCATGTAGGCCACCTGGAAGGCCTGACCAATCGATTGGGCAATAAACTGGGCCTCATCGCTCTCGAACACATGGCATATCATCTTGGGCGTGCGATTCGGCTTGGGGGCATCATCGATGTCCTGGGGAACGAAGCGACGTCGGGCCATCAGAACCACCAGATCACCGATGTCCGCAATATAGGAGATGGTGCGCAGGGCATGGTCCATCATGATCTCCTTGAGGTCCGTGTTCAGGACCATGATCTTCTCCGTCGAAATAAACAAATCCACCTCGGTGCTGGGCTGCACATCGCCATCGGGTGCCTGAAATATGGTTAATATCTAGGTTAGATACTTATTATACTTAACAAGATGGATTATATTAGGTTCTGGAACTGGGATTTGGCGGGATCTTCAGGGGAACAAGCTTCGCTTTTTGGGTAACACAAGAATTACAGCGGGCCAAATGTCTTCGATCCAATTTATTTCAAGGCAAATCAGGCAAACCAGAGGTAGGTGGTTGGTTGGGTGGTTCCGGGGGGTCAGTGGGTCTGTGGATATTGGGTATAGCTAGTGTTTCCATTACTTACCAGCGCCTATTATGCGAATTTTTGGGTTGGTTGTGTTTTTTATTTGATATAGATTTGTTTTTTTTTTCATATTTTAATTGATCGTTTGCATGGCGATACGTGGTTTAGTTAGCGTGGTTAGTCGTCGCGGATGCGGAGCATTTGATGTGGAGGAGGTGATGCATGAAAATATAACAGTAAACAGTTAATGAGTTTCTCTTTTTTTTATGCTCTCGAGGTCGAGGTCCTTCAATCAGCTTAACAGCACAAGGTCGCTTACTGGGGGACTAGTGGGTGGTGGGTGGTGTTGGGAAAATGGGAGTCAAGTGCGGGTATCAAATCAAAAATCGGAGATCGAGGAGGTATCAAAAATAGCTGATAATTTTGGTCATTAGTGCAAAGGCATCGGGGGAGCAGCTCAGGGCATTGTCACAATCCAAGTATATTCAGAAATATTTTAAGCTTAGGTATTTATGTTCTCAATCTTATACACATTTAAAATTCTAAATGTTTTCCAATAATATTTTCTAGCTAATAAAGCATTCAGAAAGTAAGAGGTAACATACAAGTTTCTTCGAATCTCAAGGGGACAACATTTTAGAGACTTTTATATGATATATTTAGGATGTTTATGATATAAACTAAGTTGTAACAAACTCTGATCTGGATTTCTAACCACTACAAATACAAAACCGATTGCGGCACAAATGAAATTCAAGCTGATCGAAGCAATCGATCGAGTCGGGCGAGCATTATCTATTTTTCATGAGGATTCTAAGGGAACTTTACCTTGATCCTGGAAACGGCCTCCTCCGCCTGCATCATGCGCGTCGATTTCGTGGGCTGACCTTCGCAGACCAGCTGCGTGGAGCCCAAGTACTTGGCCCTGAAGAGAACGCCCTCGATGAGCACTGCGCCGCCTGAGAAGATGGAGAACCCGGTTAGAAGGTCGGTTTTGTTAAGGTCAGGGTTCGCAGAGTACATGTGTAGTATAAGTTGATTAGTGTACGTGCATGTGTTTGTCCGCAATCTATAAAAGTCACGTCTTTGTATTAGAATCCTATGATTCTGGATTCTATAAGATTTGGGATACAAGTTTATCTAGGAGTGAAACCCTTGCTTTAAGTGTACAAATTTACTATCTATGATATGATATATCAAATTTTGACTAAGTTTCAAGTCATCTGAACATCTTAAAAATGATTAAAGATTTATATTTATATTTCCCAACGATCTTTCAACTTGAGGAGTATTTTAATAGAGTATACTGGGGTCTGGGGTCAGGTTAGTCATTGTTTCGTGTTATCTTGTTAGTGTTGGATCTTAGGCACTAGTACATAATGGAATTTTATCTTACAAAGTATTGTACACACACACAGACACAGTAAAATGAAGAGTAGAGTTTGGTTTTGATTTGGTTGAACGAACGAACGACGCATGCAAAAATACGCAAATAAATATGCGAAAGAATACAGAGAAATGATAGGTAAATATATATATACGATTAATACGGATTATCTGGATCTGGATCAAGAATACTGCATATATAGGATAATCAAAATTTACACATTATACAATTTCGTATTTACGCAGCCAAGATTGAATTTTGAATTTGCTCTGCTGCGCTTTTCGAGATCGTAATCGCAATTTTGGCGCAACGACAACACATCAATGCACATCGACAACATGGCAGGCCACAAGAATATATATATATATATTGATTGGCATATATATATAGCTATATGCATATACGGTTATATGGTTAAATGGTTATACATAGGAACAATCGAACGAAGGATAAACCCAACGCATTTACCTTCTTTGCTCTTACTCTTTTTCACTTTTTTCTCGCCGCTGTTGCTGTTGCTGCCGCTGCTATTGTTGTTGCTGCCGCTGCCGTTGTTGTTGTTGTTGCTGTTGCTGTTGACCACGGCGGTACCATTGGCCACCGCTCCAGATCCCGATCCAGTACCAGAACCTGTCCCCGATCCTCCACCCGATCCAGCTGCCGATCCTGCCAGCGGTGGCGCTGCCAGTGTGCCCCCATTGAGGGCTCCATTCTCCGTCTCACCAACTATCTTCACTGCTCCCCCGGGTTGGGTCAATCCACCGCCGGTCGATCTCTCCGATCCACCTCCATTTCCCGGGCTACCCAGCGCCGGTGTGCTGACCACCGCTGCCGATGCGGCCGCCACCGCTGAGGCCACCACATCCACGCTGCCGGCTGCACACAGATCTCCGCCAGAAATGGGCATGGCCAACTTGCTGGGCGACTTATCGCTGTGCTCCGAGGACGAGCGGGACAGGCTGCGCTGCACCATGCCACCCACCAGATCCAACAGCTTGCCACCATTGCCAGAGCCCAGGGTGAGACCCAATCCCAGGCCGGACTGGCCCTTGGGCGGAATCGGGGGCGGCAACTCGGGCGTGGAGCTGAGCAGCGCATTGTAGCCATTGCGCGTCTTGGTGCTCGGTATCTGCTGCTTGGGCGAGATCTTCGAGAGCAGCGAGCGCGGCTTGCGGTCCCAGCTCTTGTTCTCATCGTAGTAGCCCTGATCGTCCAGCCGCTGGTGGCCCAGCAGGCGATCCGTCTCCAGGTCGGTGTCCACGTCCTCCTCGTCGGCACTGTGGTTCTTTGAGTGATTATCCGAACCGGACTCCAGCAGTTCCTTGCCAGCGCCGCCGTCTAGATGACGGGATAGCCAGACGGGTGAGTTGAGACCCGGCGATGGGGATCTCTGCGAGGCGGAGACGAGGTTCGTCCTCTCCGGAATGGGCGGTGGCACGCCCCCATTGCCACCGCTGCTGCTGCAGTTGCTGCCGGCGCTGCGGGGCTTGCTTCCGCTTCCGGTTACCATTCCGATTCCATTTCCGGTGACCGTCGAGGTGGGTGAGCTGCGCTGCAGCGTGGAACTGATGGCCGCCGCCAATGGAGTGTGCTTGCTGCTCGGCTGCAGCAGATCCACATCGTTGTTGCCACCGCCCATGTTGCCATTGGTGTTGACAACGGCGTTGGCACTGCCACTGTTGTTGGGCTTGCGATGTGGCGCCGGAGCGGGCGGCGGCGGAGTCATCTGCACCGTGTCCGGGCGGTGGAAAACTCCTGGAAATCAAAACAACATCGATCAAAATCCATGTGGCATACGGAAATTTGTTTCTCCCCATCAAATCAAAAGTAAGTCAAGATCAATTCTATCTTAATCTCAATTTAAATCTTTCTCTAGACTTTTCGGTTTTTGAGAACACTTTCGTCTTGAAAAACGAAATTGGGACTACTTTTATCTCTGTTTTAGGAAATGTTCATCTTAAAAAACATTTTCAAGAGTGAATTCGCCTTGATTTTAAGAGCATTTGTTCTTGAATAAGTAGGAGGACGTATTCCTGAATTGAGAATATTTCGCTCATTTACTAAAAGATTAAAAATATTGGAAATCTATGTTGAACTTGAAAACTTTAAATGCGTTTATCTAAAAAATGCTATTCGCCTTGATTTTAAGAGCATTTGTTCTTGAACAAGTAAAAGGACGTATTCCTGAATTGAGAACATTTCGCTCATTTACTAAAAGAGTTAAAATATTGAAAATCTAAATTAAACTTGAAAACTTAAAATGAGTTTTTAGATTTATCATTCTTCTTACACATTTTGTGCAAACCAAGGTTATCAAAGCAGAAGCTGTGGTAAACCATAAATTTTTTAAGACTAGCCATGTACTTAACAGTTTTAGAAAATAAAGATTTTCCAAAATGTTGAATGCAAATTTATATAGTGTTAAATGGGTTCTAAATAGTTTGCTTGTCAAGACTCCATTTTAAAACTTTCCATCTCAATTTGTTTTAAATAAAAATAAAACCATTTGAAAACCATTACCTTTGGATGGACTTACCAATCGAGTAGAGCGAATCCAATTCCGGATCAATGTTCTTGAACACTTTGCTGTGGTTGCTGGGACTCTGGTCCAGAGACAGAGTCTTCGGCTGTGATTGCGCCTGATTGGCCTGCGGACCCTTCGACTGCCCATTGCTGGGACTGGGCGTGGCGACCAGGTGGTGACCCGCCATGCCGCCGTTGCTGTCCGTGGTGGAGGCGGTGGTGGTCAGGTTGTGCATGCTGTTCAGGCTGTTGTTCGTCGAGACGCGTTTCATGTCCATCAGCATGGAGATGCCTCCGCTGCCGCCGATGCTGGTGCTTCCGCTCAGGCTGGTGGGACACTGTTGGCCCTGGCTGACCACCGCCTGCTGCAGGTTCTTCTGGTTGTTGTTGTTGTTCTCGGTGTCACTGGTGTGACCCGAGGAGAGACCATCCTCCAGCACCGGCATGGCCGAGGCATAGTACTTGGCGTAGTTCGAGCAGGAGGTGGACACACCGCCGTTCATCTCACCCGAGAGACCTAAGGATACAAGTTGGATTAAAATCGCATGAAAACTTAGAGAGAAATTCGATTTAACTTTAAAGTCAACTTTATATCTAGGTTTTAATCTAAATGTCTTTTAGTTTCACCACTTACTGTCCATCAAAATTCAAAACTCGCAAGTTTCACATTAACCCCATAACGTATATATATTTTTATATTTCTATTGCACGTAGTATATAAGTTTTGAGCAGCTTGCTACAATTGCTATCGATCCCCATCACTTTAAGAAAGATTTATTTTTTAACAAATTTTTTCATTTTTTGTAAGGGGGTAGCTCGGTTTTTTTTGGGATTCAAATTTTGGTCAAAAATGCTCATTTTTTAGTGGTTTTTCAGTCGTAGTTTAGCCAAATAAAGGCGTACAGCTAAAAGACCTACAGTTTTGAGCAGCTTGCTTCAATTGCTATCGATCCCTATCATTTTAAGGAAGATTTATTTTTTGACAAATTTTTTCATTTTTTGTAAGGGGGTAGCTCGGTTTTTTTTGGGATTCAGATTTTGGTCAAAAATTCTCATTTTGTAGTGGTTTTTCGGTCGTAGTTTAGCCAAATCAAGGCGTACACCTAAAAGACCTACAGTTTTGAGCAGCTTGCTTCAATTGCTATCGATCCCCATCATTTTAAGGAAGATTTATTTTTTGACAAATTTTTTCATTTTTTGTAAGGGGGTAGCTCGGTTTTTTTTGGGATTCCAATTTTGGTCGAAAATGCTCATTTTTTAGTGGTTTTTCAGTCGTAGTTTAGCCAAAAAAAGGCGTACAGCTAAAAGACCTACAGTTTTGAGCAGCTTGCTTCAATTGCTATCGATCCTTATAATTTTAAGGAAGATTTATTTTTTGACAAATTTTTTCATTTTTTGTAAGGGGGTAGCTCGGTTTTTTTTGGGATTCAAATTTTGGTCAAAAATGCTCATTTTTTAGTGGTTTTTCAGTCGTAGTTTAGACAAATAAAGGCGTACAGCTAAAAGACCTACAGTTTTGAGCAGATTCCTTCAATTGCTATCGATCCCCATCATTTTAAGAAAGATTTATTTTTTGACAAATTTTTTCATTTTTTGTAAGGGGGTAGCTCGGTTTTTTTTGGGATTCAAATTTTGGTCGAAAATGCTCATTTTTTAGTGGTTTTTCAGTCGTAGTTTAGACAAATAAAGGCGTACAGCTAAAAGACCTACAGTTTTGAGCAGATTCCTTCAATTGCTATCGATCCCCATCATTTTAAGAAAGATTTATTTTTTGACAAATTTTTTCATTTTTTGTAAGGGGGTAGCTCGGTTTTTTTTGGGATTCAGATTTTGGTCAAAAATTCTCATTTTTTAGTGGTTTTTCGGTCGTAGTTTAGCCAAATCAAGGCGTACACCTAAAAGACCTACAGTTTTGAGCAGCTTGCCTCAATTGCTATCGATCCTTATAATTTTAAGGAAGATTTATTTTTTGACAAATTTTTTCATTTTTTGTAAGGGGGTAGCTCGGTTTTTTTTGGGATTCAAATTTTGGTCGAAAATGCTAATTTTTTAGTGGTTTTTAGTCGTAGTTTAGCCAAAAAAAGGCGTACAGCTAAAAGACCTACAGTTTTGAGCAGCTTGCTTCAATTGCTATCGATCCTTATAATTTTAAGGAAGATTTATTTTTTGACAAATTTTTTCATTTTTTGTAAGGGGGTAGCTCGGTTTTTTTTGGGGTTCAAATTTTGGTCGAAAATGCTCATTTTTTAGTGGTTTTTCAGTCGTAGTTTAGCCAAAAAAAGGCGTACAGCTAAAAGACCTACAGTTTTGAGCAGCTTGCTTCAATTGCTATCGATCCTTATAATTTTAAGGAAGATTTATTTTTTGACAAATTTTTTCATTTTTTGTAAGGGGGTAGTTTTTTTTTGGGATTCAAATTTTGGTCAAAAATGCTCATTTTTTAGTGGTTTTTCAGTCGTAGTTTAGCCAAATAAAGGCGTACAGCTAAAAGACCTACAGTTTTGAGCAGATTCCTTCAATTGCTATCGATCCCTATCATTTTAAGGAAGATTTATTTTTTGACAAATTTTTTCATTTTTTGTAAGGGGGTAGCTCGGTTTTTTTTGGGATTCAAATTTTGGTCGAAAATGCTAATTTTTTAGTGGTTTTTCAGTCGTAGTTTAGCCAAATAAAGGCGTACAGCTAAAAGACCTACAGTTTTGAGCAGATTCCTTCAATTGCTATCGATCCCCATCATTTTAAGGAAGATTTATTTTTTGACAAATTTTTTCATTTTTTGTAAGGGGGTAGCTCGGTTTTTTTTGGGATTCAAATTTTGGTCGAAAATGCTAATTTTTTAGTGGTTTTTCAGTCGTAGTTTAGCCAAATAAAGGCGTACAGCTAAAAGACCTACAGTTTTGAGCAGCTTGCTTTAATTGCTATCGATCCCCATCATTTTAAGGAAGATTTATTTTTTGACAAATTTTTTCATTTTTTGTAAGGGGGTAGCTCGGTTTTTTTTGGGATTCAAATTTTGGTCAAAAATGCTCATTTTTTAGTGGTTTTTCAGTCGTAGTTTAGCCAAATCAAGGCGTACACCTAAAAGACCTACAGTTTTGAGCAGCTTGCTTCAATTGCTATCGATCCCCATCATTTTAAGGAAGATTTATTTTTTGACAAATTTTTTCATTTTTTGTAAGGGGGTAGTTTTTTTTTGGGATTCAAATTTTGGTCAAAAATGCTCATTTTTTAGTGGTTTTTCAGTCGTAGTTTAGCCAAATAAAGGCGTACAGCTAAAAGACCTACAGTTTTGAGCAGCTTGCTTCAATTGCTATCGATCCTTATAATTTTAAGGAAGATTTATTTTTTGACAAATTTTTTCATTTTTTGTAAGGGGGTAGTTTTTTTTTGGGATTCAAATTTTGGTCAAAAATGCTCATTTTTTAGTGGTTTTTCAGTCGTAGTTTAGCCAAATAAAGGCGTACAGCTAAAAGACCTACAGTTTTGAGCAGCTTGCCTCAATTGCTATCGATCCTTATAATTTTAAGAAAGATTTATTTTTTGACAAATTTTTTCATTTTTTGTAAGGGGGTAGCTTGGTTTTTTTTGGGATTCAAATTTTGGTCGAAAATGCTCATTTTTTAGTGGTTTTTCAGTCGTAGTTTAGCCAAATAAAAGCCTTCAGCTAAAATACCTACAGTTTTGAGCAGATTGCTTCAATTGCTATCGATCCCTATCATTTTAAGGAAGATTTATTATACCCGTTACTCGTAGAGTAAAAGGGTATACTAGATTCGCCGGAAAGTATGTAACAGGCAGAAGGAAGCGTTTCCGACCCCACAAAGTATATATATTCTTGATCAGGATCACTAGCCGAGTCGATCTAGCCATGTCCGTCTGTCCGTATGAACGCTGAGATCTCGTAAGCTATACAAGCTACAATACTGGGATTAGGCATGCAGATTCCTGAGATTCCTGCGCAGCGCAAGTTTATTTCAGCAGAGTGCCACGCCCACTCTAACGCCCACAAACTGCCCAAAACGGTGGCTCCTACAGTTTTGATGCTAGATAAAAAGTTTTAACTGAAATGTATTGTTCTCATCAATACCTATCGATTGACCCAAAAAAAAGTTTGCCACGCCCACTTTAACGCCCACAAACCGCGAAAACCTGTGACGCCCACAATTTTCATGCTAGATAAAAAATTTTAACTGAAATGTATTGGTCTCGTCGATACCTATCGATTGATCCAAAAAAAAATTTGCCACGCCCACTCTAACGCCCATAACGCTTAAATCTGTATACCGCCGGTAGGTGGCGCATTTTAATCTCGCTTTGCTGCTTGCATATCTCCATATAGCTGAGTAACGGGTATCTGATAGTCGAGGTACTCGACTATAGCGTTCTTCCTTGTTTTTTGACTAATTTTTTCATTTTTTGTTAGGGGGTAGCTCGGTTTTTTTTGGGATTCAGATTTTGGTCGAAAATGCTAATTTTTTAGTGGTTTTTCGGTCGTAGTTCAGCCAAATCAAGGCGTACACCTAAAAGACCTACAGTTTTGAGCAGCTTGCCTCAATTGCTATCGATCCTTATAATTTTAAGAAAGATTTATTTTTTGACAAATTTTTTCATTTTTTGTAAGGGGGTAGCTTGGTTTTTTTTGGGATTCAAATTTTGGTCGAAAATGCTCATTTTTTAGTGGTTTTTCAGTCGTAGTTTAGCCAAATAAAAGCCTTCAGCTAAAATACCTACAGTTTTGAGCAGATTGCTTCAATTGCTATCGATCCCCATCATTTTAAGGAAGATTTATTTTTTGACAAATTTTTTCATTTTTTGTAAGGGGGTAGCTCGGTTTTTTTTGGGATTCAGATTTTGGTCAAAAATTCTCATTTTTTAGTGGTTTTTCGGTCGTAGTTTAGCCAAATCAAGGCGTACACCTAAAAGACCTACAGTTTTGAGCAGCTTGCCTCAATTGCTATCGATCCTTATAATTTTAAGAAAGATTTATTTTTTGACAAATTTTTTCATTTTTTGTAAGGGGGTAGCTCGGTTTTTTTTGGGATTCAAATTTTGGTCGAAAATGCTAATTTTTTAGTGGTTTTTCAGTCGTAGTTTAGCCAAATAAAGGCGTACAGCTAAAAGACCTACAGTTTTGAGCAGCTTGCTTCAATTGCTATCGATCCCTATCATTTTAAGGAAGATTTATTTTTTGACAAATTTTTTCATTTTTTGTAAGGGGGTAGCTCGGTTTTTTTTGGGATTCAGATTTTGGTCAAAAATTCTCATTTTTTAGTGGTTTTTCGGTCGTAGTTTAGCCAAATCAAGGCGTACACCTAAAAGACCTACAGTTTTGAGCAGCTTGCCTCAATTGCTATCGATCCTTATAATTTTAAGGAAGATTTATTTTTTGACAAATTTTTTCATTTTTTGTAAGGGGGTAGCTTGGTTTTTTTTGGGATTCAAATTTTGGTCGAAAATGCTCATTTTTTAGTGGTTTTTCAGTCGTAGTTTAGCCAAATAAAGGCGTACAGCTAAAAGACCTACAGTTTTGAGCAGATTGCTTCAATTGCTATCGATCCCCATCATTTTAAGGAAGATTTATTTTTTGACAAATTTTTTCATTTTTTGTAAGGGGGTAGCTCGGACAACTATATCCTATAACTTTCATAGGAATGATCAAAAATATATTTTTAAAATATAAAAACATATTAACGTCTGGGAATATTTTGGGAATCGCACGACCTTATCATATAGCTGACTTAGGAACGATCGGATAATTAATGTCAAAATGCTACGAGGACCGATATATTTTGTTTTTAGTAAACATATATGTATGCTAGTAAATATAAATGGAACATTATCTTACAACTTCTTTAAATAGTTTTTAGTTTTCTAAAAATTGAAAAGCTCTCTGCATACAATGATCCCACGGTTGGGATAACTAGATTAAAACCAAATTAATTGCTGATCTGCTAATCAGCAACCCCAAAAACACCCTTGCGACGATCACATTGGAATCGAATTCCTTTCGGGGTTCTATTATCGGTCAGCAATAATCCTTGGAGAGCCACTGAAAATCATCTATCAAGTTGTCAAACCAGGCAGAAGATGAGTGGAAGCCAGTTAAGGGATTACTTTTTTGAATCGTAACACTGATATGATAAGTGTGACCGAATATGTTAAGGGCTTACCGACTCGGAGTAATCTGGCAACCCTGATTCTGGCAAACCCCAATGGTGTGCGACCACACTAAATGTCTGTCAAAAATCTGTCAAGATATTGAATGCCAAATTTATTTTGTCACATCTGGAAATTGGTATTCACTGAAAGTAAGCGCATAAAAACTTGAATAAACCTTAATTAACCTATTTGGAGTCTTGGATCAAGGTGTTAAGTGGTTTTCAGCAGCGGCAAAGATCACCGAGACGACGTATTAAATAAATTCAGCCAGCAGAAACTTTAAACAAGTGAACGATATGGCCTCTATGCCCGACCTCGAAAACGACGCGTTCTTCAACACGAATGAGGAAAACGACGCATCAATGAACGCGGTGATTCAAATCACCACAGCCACCGGGTCCGAGGAGCTCGGGTCTGCAGATCCCGATACAGCGGCTACCGCCGGCAAGGATGACATGCCGGAGATCAAGGCGGAACCGCCTTCCAACACCCATGTGATGGGCCTGGAGAAGGACTCGGAGGACGGGGAGTCCCCCAAGAAACACGACTCAGATCAGCAGGTCAGTGACGAGGAGAAGGAAAACCAGTCTAAGGAAAATTCCTTGCCAAAGCGACATTCTCTGGATATGGTACAGGATGCGGGCGCTCCACAGGCTAAGCGTCCAAAGCTAGTGGATGAAGACGGCAAGGACCCCGAAAACGAGGTTTCTGCTGACCATGCCAATGATGTGAATCGCTCTCAAACTTAAACTATACCTAAAGGCTATCTTTTTGCAACACAACTAATCCATTTACTTAAAAAAAACAGTACAATGCGGACAATTCTAAATTTGGTTTTTTTGAATTAGTTCTTTGTCCTTAAACTGAATCAACAGACATCACAATAAAGCAATTACATACCTAATGAAATGAAAATGTAACACACATCACAATAAAGCAATTACATACCTTATGAAATGAAAATGTAACATTATCTTAAAATTTCTGTTTTTAGTTTTTGTTTTCTGAAAATCCGAAAGCTCTGTACACTCAATGATCCCACAAAAACGACTTACAAGGGTATATAAACTTCGGCTTGCCGAAGCTAGCTTCCTTGTTAAAGTTAGATTTAAAACTAAATGTCTATGAGTTGCTCAACTTACTGTCCAGATCGCCGCAGTTGGAGTCATAGTCGGTGGTCTCCGGTGAGTAGCGGTAGTTGTGTCCTCCGCCCGGACCCACGCCCACTCCCACGCCCCCGCCTCCGCCATGTCCGCTGCCCGTGCTCAGCAGCTGGTTGTGATTGAGCCCATCCTGATCGCAGTCCCGCTCGCCGCTGCTCCGACTGGTGGAGTCCAGGAAGAAGTCGAAGTCCCGCATCAGCGGACTGCCGCTATAGTGCCGCCGTGCCACGCCCATGCCAACGCCCACGCCCATCGGTTGGGCGGTCAGTTGGGGCTGCGACTGCTGGCCATAGCCCACGCCCCCGTAAACGAGTCGTTCGGAGGCGTGGCCGGCGGTGGGAGGCGCCTGCTGGCGGTAGTTCTGGTCGCGATCCTGACCCAACGGCTCGTCCTCATCCTCGGCCTCGTCGTTCTCCTCGTCGGCATCGTCGTCGACCTCCTCGTCGTCCTCGGCCTCCTCCTCCTCAGCCAGATCCTCTTCATCTCGCTCAAAGTTGCTGTGGAACTCGTACTGGATATCCTGCACAATGAGTTAACAAAAAACATATATATTTTAAAACAACTAAAGTGATTTTAAATGAAATTGCATTAACAATATCTCATTTTGAGAATGCAGTGTTCCGCAAACAATGAATTTATAAATCTATGAAGTACTTATTGTTATCATCTGTTAATGCTCGCATTCCCTAAGCTACTTTATTGGTTATGTTTAGAATATTAAATACTAGCTTGATGTTTTGAAATCCAATTTCGATTTTGACATATTTTTTCATATTTTTCATATTTCTTTGGCCGAAAACAATCATCATCTGGGTACTCACAATGCTGTCCACATCGCTGCCGTTTTCCATGATGGGCTGCTCGTCGGTGGAGGGACACTTGAAGAACTCCTCCAGCACCTTGCGCGTCTCCGAGAACTCGTAGAGGTAATCGAAGGTCGACGATTTCGTGTGCAGGCTCAGCGGACCCGTTGCTGTTGCATTTCCGGTTGCGGTGCCATTTCCATTTCCGGTTCCATTGGCAGTGCTGCCCGCCACTGCTGTCGGTGGTGCCAATGCCAATACCGGTGGTGCCTGCGGTGGCGTGGCCGCCCGGCTAGCAACCTCGCCGGCAGCGGCTCCAATGGCCAGTCCCAGACCCACGGCCTCCGGAGTGGTCAGGTCGGATATGGTGCCAATCTCGGACACATCGTTACTGGTGTCCTCCGCGTTGTTGTCGCTGCTCAGCGGCTGTTTGTTGGTGTTCGAGTTGTTACTATGATTGCTCATCAGACTGGCAAAGTGCTGCTGTTGCTGCTGCTGATGTTGCTGTTGCTGCTGATGTTGCTGTTGCTGCTGCTGCAGCGGAGGAGAGCTACTGCGGGGCTCACGATTCGGCGGCGAGATGATGCGCTATGAATAAAGAAAAGGAATTCAAGTAAGAAAATATCATTCCTTTCTTTAATTTCATATATGACTTTCCCTTATATCATGAGTTTAAGGTGACTTCCAAACAAAACATTAGAATACTTACATATATAAAATAACTGATATTATGCGACTGATTTGTCTAATAAATATAAAGTTTTGACAAAGCTTAGATCATCAAAAATATTTTTATATATATAATTATATATTTTACAAGGCAATTATAGCTATTTTTAAAAATGTTAAATCCCAATCTTTATACATATACATAGATCATAATAAATATTGTTTAAAATAATAATGGGCCTATTTCAATAAAATAAATATAATATCTTAAGCTGGGATCATAATAAATAATTGCCAAATAATAAGTTATAGGTTTTAAATGGATTATTCCAATAAACATCATTCCATTTCTCATAACTCTCCAAATAATATTTGAATAATTAAAACCAAAATCAATACATATTTAAGTATATGTAGTTAGGGGTGGGTCATAGTTGTTTCAATAGAACATCATAATACGTATTTCTAATACCCATCAATTGAATATCAACACCCACCTGTGGAAAGCCCGGACGAACGGGATAGTTCTGCATGGGCTGCTGCGGCGAGTGCATCTGGATCTGGCTGGGATTCAGTGGGTTGGGGTTGCCCGAGCTCGGGAGCAGGGAGCTGAGGATGTTGTGGGTGTTGTGGGGGTGGCTCTGGGCAAGGGCGGCCAGTGCTGCCCGGGCCGCCGTCTTTTGCAGCGAGGTGGCCGTGGAGCTCAGCGGTGGAACGGTGGCCATGGGCACCTGCTGCTGCTGTTGTTGTGGTGGTGGTGTTGCTACTTCTACCGCTGCTGGTGGTTCGCTTTCGTCCGCTGCTGCCCCTGCTGCTGCTGCTGCTACCGCTGCCGCTGCAGTCGTCACTTGCCCCAAATTGCTGCTGGTCAACCCAATGCGCCGCGGCGAGCCCTCGTATTCTGAGGATAAAAGCGATTAAAATCCGAGTTAAAGTGGATCGAATGATTCTGAATAAAAGCATTAAGGACCATGGCCACATATTAAACAAGGAAGAACGCTATAGTCGAGTACCTCGACTATCAGATACCCGTTACTCAAAGGGAAATGGAGATATGCAAGCAGCAAAGCGAAATTAAAATGCGCCACCTACCGGCGGTAGACAGATTTAAGCGTTATGAGCGTTAGAGTGGGCGTGGCAAATTTATTTTTGGATCAATCGATAGGTATTGACGACACCAATACATTTCAGTTAACATTTTTCATTTAGCATCCAAATTGTGGGCGTCACAGGTTTTCGCGGTTTGTGGGCGTTTAAGTGGGCGTGGCAAACTTTTTTTTAGGTCAATCGATAGGTATTGATGAGAACAATACATTTCAGTTAAAATTTTCTATCTAGCATCAAAACTGTAGGAGTTTCAGTTTTGGGCGGTTTGTGGGCGTGGCAGTCTACTGAAACAAACTTGCGCTGCGTAAGAAGCTCAGGAATCTGTACGCCAAATCTCAATAGCATAACTCTCATAGTTTCCGAGATCTCAGCGTTCATCCGGACAGACAGACGGACAGACGGTCAGACGGACAGACGGACAGACGGACATGGCTAGATCGACTCGGCTAGTGATCCTGATCAAGAATATATATACTTTATGGGGTCGGAAACGCTTCCTTCTGCCTGTTACATACTTTCCGACGAATCTAGTATACCCTTTTACTCTACGAGTAACGGGTATAAAAATATGTTGCCTACCTAAAAGGGCCGCAAAAACGCCGAACCAAATAAAGTTACGCTTTTTTTGTATAAAACGTGTTTGATTGGCAAAACTTTTTGTAGATTTTTTATGCAATTTTCGTTGGTAAAATTTCTTTTGGATGAAAAGGAGGTCAGCAAAAATTTTAAATTCCCTTTTTCCGTTGCGCTTTAAATTTATTATCTATATTTTTTTAACTGACTGACGGAAGTAATATATATATTCCAAATCATTAAACGAGTAATTTAAAGAGAGAATAACTTTTCAACGATTATTACAATTTACCTTTCCATTTAGTGACTTCAAATAAGGGTAATTATAATAGGGAAATTGAAAAGAAATCCTATACTTTTGGTAATATTGGCAGTGAAGGTCATAAAAAATTTAAAATTCACTTTATCTGCGGATAAAATTGCATAGACGGAATTGTTAGACGGAAGTAATAAAAATTCAGAGTAATTGAAATAGTGATTTAAGCAGAAAACAACATTTAAAATTAATATATTCGTTAAGTGATTCTAAAACTCAGCTTGGATTATTGGCAGACTATTGGTAAAATGAATACCAATTGGTTCTGAGTTAGGGAGGGGTTTTCGAGAGTAATAATATTATTTTTGTTGCGAAATATCTGTACCAATGATGCCGTGGCGCGACTCCACGGCCAGCGTGTAGTTTCGCTCGAGCTTCCAGGCGTCCAGCTTGTGCTCCCTGTAGACATTGACCTCCGGGTTCTGACCTTGGTTCAGACTGAGGCTCTGCATCTGGTGCTGGGCCTTATCCGCCAGCTTGCCGCCCTCCTCCGCCAAAGTTTCGGTCGTAACGCGCAGATCTGGATGGGGTGAGATGGGGATAGAAACAAAGCTCGGATGAGGGGCGGTGGCAATGACAAGGGTTGCGCACAGCAAGGATTTGGGGGGACCCTTTACAATACTTGGCATGCCAATTAATTGCAATCAATTAAATTCCACTTTGGCGCGCTTCCTACGCTTTGTTCCCCTGGATTTCCCCCAAACTTCAGTGTTTTGTTGCCCCGTTTCATACATATTTGCAGTACACTTCATTACGCATGATTTGCAATTCAATTACCCGGCCCATGTCTATCAGTCCGGCATTCAGCCAGTCGGAAATTGGTTTCGCAGGCAGCCCCGAAATGCTCAGTCCAGTCCAGTCTTTCGATGAGGCAGTCGGTCCTTCTAGCCGCAAATTGCTGCAGGCACGTGCAACCGCAGAGGTTGCTGCTCGGACAGAGGCAACACTTTAGCTGGGACTGGGGTTAACCGGAAAAGGGTTTGTGTACTCTAGAAATGCAATCCGACCAGGGATGCTGCTAAGCTCCTCTTTAAAATGTGTAAATGCTATTGCTTTTACCTAACACTTAAAAAAATTAAGAGTCATTATAATATGCCTAAAATAGTTCTATATCCAGGCTCATTTGTCCATTATAGCCATATAACACTGGTTATGCTTTGGCTAAGTGACTGAATTAATTGTATAAATGATATTGGTTTTACGAGTACATAACGATTTATGCTTTTCACTATATTAATATCTTCAAATTTTAAAAGTTTCCAAAAAAAAACTGCCTAATAAGTCAGTTAAGTCAGTTAATAAGTTACAATTTGGGTCGAATCCTTTTTTTAATTGAGTATACATTAATTCGTAAGATGTTAGAAGTTAGTCCAAGTATAGGCATTTGTCATGCTGCCTTACTAAAGTCTGATTGAAAACGTTTTAAAACCTAGCTTTTAAGGGGGTACTTCTCTTCGATTCTAGATTATTAAATATATATTTTCAACTTACGCTGCCAGCTCTCGTTGGGATCTGCGTTTCCATTGACCAGGCGGTGATCCCGCTCCATGTCCCGCTCCCTTTCCCGCTCCTCGCCGTAAACATGCCGTTTGCGCTGCTGTTGCTGTTGCTGTTGCTGCTGACCCGCCAAATGGCTTAGATGGTTGTCCCTGGCCGCCTGCACCTCCTGCATCTGCAACTGCTGCTGCTGCTGCTCCAGCAACAGGTGCTCCCGATCCCGATCTCGATCCCGCTCCCTTTCTCGCTCCCTCTCCCTTTCCCGCTCCTCGCGCAGCCGCAGTTTGCGCTGCTCCCGCGGCTCCCAATCGCCTTGCTGCTGATCCAGGGATGACTTGCTGCCATAAAGATAGTGACTGGCCAGCGGAGTCAGCCCATCGGCGCAGGGATTGCTCCTGGCCACAGCAATCTGCTGCTGTTGTTGCTGTTGCTGCTGGGCAAAGCTGCGATTTACTGGACTCCTTCCCACCCGCAAAATGTGCGACTGTTGCTGCTGCTGCTGCTGCTGCTGCTGCTGTTGCTGCTGCTGCTGTTGCTGCTGCTGTCGCTGACTGATTCCATACACTTGTTCCCGCTGCTGGTGGTAAGCTCGTCTGGCTGAGGCATGCATATGTTGCTGCTGCTGTTGTTGCTGCTGCTGCTGCTGCTGCTGCTGTTGCTGTTGCTGCTCCTCGGAGTACTCCGTGGGCGAATGGAGCAGCAAGCTGGCTCTTGTGGGCGGTGCCTCCCAGTAGTTCTCCTTGATGAAAGGATTCTGACTACCATTGCCGTTGTGCAACTGTTGCTGCTGCCTGTTGCTGGCGGGCAGGGCGCCGCTGCGTTTTCTTGGCATTTCCGCGTAGCCACCGGTGCCACGCCTACTTTCGCCCACCGTGTGGTAGTAAAAGGAGGCGGGATAATCGGGCTCCTCGCCAGCCGCTCCGCTCCTGCTCCGCTCCACAGCTGACTCGCCCGTGGTGTCCTGTTGTTGCTGGTGTTGCGGCTGCTGCTGTTGCTGTTGCTGCTGGTGGTGCGGCGGTGTGGGCGGCGTGAGCGGTGCGCACAGGAAGGGATTGGTGGAGATGCGCGGCGTTACCGAGGAAAGCGATTCGGAGGAGTGCGACGAGGCTGAGTGCGGCGGCGGCGATTGCGTTATTATGTTCACGCTCTTGTAATAGCTGGGCGTGCTGGTGGGCGTGGCCTTGGGCGGCGGCGGACTAACACTGGCCAGCGGCTCCCGATCCCGTTCCCCAGCAACGATTGCTGCCGTTGGGCTGCTGCTCCTGATGCTGTTGCTGTTGGGATTCACGATGTCCGCGAGGAGTGCATGTGCATGTTGCTGCTGTGCTGGCTGATGTTGCTGCTGCGATTGCTGCTGCTGCTGCTGCTGCTGTTGCGGCTGCTGCTTGGGTCGGCACTTGGGGAAGAGCAAACTGATCTGATCGTTGAGCGGCGGCGAAGGCGACAGCAGAGCCTGCGACAGGATCAAAGGCGGTTGCTGTTGCTGCTGCTGTTGCTGGTAGCTGGTGTTGCTGCTGCTGTTGCTGTTGGAGTTGCTGTTGCTGCTGTCTAGCTCCAAGCTGCCGTTGAGTGCGTAGAAGCCGCGCTGCTGGCTAACCGCTGCGGCTGCTGCTGCGGCGTGTGGCTGCAGTCGCTGATAGGGCAACGGCTGATGCAACGTTTGATGCAGCTGCTGATGCGACTGATCCTGCTGCTGCTGCTGCTGCAACTGTTGCGGAGTCTGCTGCTGCTGATGCTGCTGGTGGTGATGGTGGTGGTGATGGTGATTACTGCTACTAGTTGTTTGTCCAGCAGCCAGTGTTGTCAATGTTGTGCTGACCATTATTGTTGCCAATAAACTGCAATTGAAAATTGTAGGTTAGGCAACATTAGAGTGATTCAACGTTTAATAAGCCACTTGAACAGCCCCACAGGATCCATTGTATACCCAATATACCACGCTTCACGTCCCACTGGCAGTTGTTTTAATAAATGCAGGCGCTGTGTCAACCTTTGTCATGTCCAAACGGCAACGGGGCGTGACAGTAACGAGTTCTGTCGCCATTCTCGGCTCGTCTGGGTCACGTTTCATGGGGTGGATTCGTGGAATGGTAATGGCACATTTCGCCCTGGTCCTGGCCAAAACAAATGGCTGCCATAAGACAGGCAAATATTTAATTGTCCGCCCCCGCCGTGAAAGTGAAAAATGCAAAATGCGTAACACTCGTGCAGCAGCAGCCAATCAATGTCATTGAGCGATTGCCGTCGCTTTGTTGAACTTAAATTTTAAAATATTGAAATGACCGCCTGCGTTTAAATTGGATTCAATTTGCATTCGCACCATGAGCTTTTTGTCATGTGGCATGCAAATGAGGCGCACTGCTGGTATTTTCGGCTCTAGAGAGCATGTGGAGCTTTGGAAAAGTCGGGGGAAAAAAAACAAGTAATATTGCCAAGAGATTCACAGTTTTGTTTAACTTTAGTTTTTTTTGCCTAGGTGATATGCAAATAACCGAAAGCCATTTGAAGTGTGGAAAAATCAATTGAATAGAATTTTAATTCCTTTCGTTTGATTTTGTTTTTTTAAGATTTAAGACCCGCATTTAAAGTCTACCTTGGAAATTGGGAGTAAAAAGCCGGTATGTCCAATGTATTTAAGGACCTCTTGTGGAATCTTTGCTGTCTTTAAACCAACTAACGGCCAGCTTGCCCCAAAAAGGTCCCTCTTAAACCGCTTAAAGCTGCAGCACGTATCCCCTTTTGGGACCCCAAACACTCCACTCTCGCATACCAGGCCGCAATCCATCCCAAAACTCCACCCACAAGTTATGCTAATGCGTGCGGTGTTCAGGGCGTGTGTATATGTATGTGCATGTTTTGTGTTTGTGCCCGGGGTCTAAAATATTTTCCAACAATCAAACTAAAAATTTCGAAAAGGATTAACAACAACAGGAGCCAGAAGCGAGACGAGAAAAAAGTCAGAGAAGCGTACAAAAACACCCAGAGAAAATGGGTTAAACGACGTAAAATAGGATCCCATGTAATGCGATTAAATATTTGATATATTCATTTAAATCTGATTCTTTTTCTTCTTTTTTAATAAGATCTTATTTATTTACAAAATATATATTTATATTCCCTACATTTATATTAATCCCAGATACATTTCAATGTTAATGTGATATCATATCATATGATAATATTATATATTGAAAATGCCAGTTTTCCTTCTATGGCTTCGGAATCTACCATAGAAATCAGTGATATTTTAAACTCAAAAATATTTAATTGAAACAAACCTATTTATAATAATCCAAGAAAATGCTAGTACTTATTTCTCTCAGTGGCAATCACACATACAAGTGGGGATAACCGAGGCGAGATATGTGAGCCGGATCCTGTTGGAGTTGTTTCTCTTGTTGCTCCTGTTGCTGTGCGTCTCGCATCGCTTTGTGCACTCGCATGGAAAATATGTTTTCGTTTTCTGGAATACCACACACACAACCGGGCTGCGAAAAGGGCAAGGAGCTGGTGGCAGGGGGCCTTTGGATGCCACCAAGACGGAGGAGGTCTTTCATAACCGAAATTCACACAACAGCTAACAAGGTATAACAGCAGCAGCGACAGCAAGAGACTCGCTTCCCGGATGAGGAGGGACATGGCAAGAACCAGAACCAGAACCAGAACGAGAACCATAAACAGAACTCGAACCATCCCCAGATCGAGAGCAACATTTTCTTTACGGCTCCACACGACACGAACACGGCTAGATGGGCAAACATTTTCATTGCTTCCCACTGGGATGTTGGTTCAAGATAGTCTCTTGTCAGAGGAATTGGTGACAATAAAACATAGTCTCCACATGTGTTGCTTTTTTAGATATGAAATTCGAATTTAAAACTCTAGTGCCTGTAGTGCTGCACAGTTTTGCTTAAAATTAACAAATTTAAATTTCCATTTAACTCAGTATTTTAAATACTTTGGAATTAGGAATATCGACTCCTTTTAAAGGGAGGTTCTATGAATAGCGGGTAAAAATTGTAAGTAAAAAAAGAAATAGCCATCTGTCTTAACCTTTACCAATCTTTGTTGATCTACGCTTTATCATTAACTAGTTATTAAGAATCTACCTCGGTAAACGACATAATACATATTACTTTATATTTAAGATATTGTAAGTTATTTGGTTCATTACTTGTATCGTTAGATTTTTCATTTTCTAGTTTTTTTGCTCTAATATCCCGCAGTTTTTCCATTCAATCGATTTTTCTACATCAGATGGTCTATATTTTTAGCCTCATGTCATTTTTGCTCTGTGTTAGGTTTCAGTACCGAAGTTTGATGGCTTGGATGTTCTTACGCCTGTGCAATGATTGCGATTGACATATCTTGACACTGTGGTACTGATTTTCTCTTTAGTCCTCGGGGATGAATAATGATTCCAGGGGATTGACTACACAAGCAATATATAATACATCATACCATTTCATATAAAATATATATATATTTTTTGGTGAAAGGTAATCTACTATTTTTAAGTAAGCTTTAAGATAATTTGATTTTGGTCATTATGTTGTTTAAAAAAATGAAGAGATTTAAAAAATACCAAGAGTTTGGGTAATGAAATAATGCTTAATTATCATATAAAGATTGTTGCAATATTTCTGGTCCCTGTCTTTAGGTGAGGTAAAGTGCGAGGCATAAAATTTTCATAAATTCTTCAGCCGTGTAGCACACATGCACATCCCGAGCATCCTGACAACCCGACACCCCCATCCTCATCCTCATTCACGGCGAGACTCCATCCTTGTCCTAGACCTGTCAGGTGCATAATTAAGTTACCAGGACGAAGAGGAGGACCGCGTCGACTGGCGTCCTTGGAGTTTTATTAACTTAATGTCTGCTTAAACGATGCACCGCCTGCTGGTCTTTAAATATTTAAAATTAATTCAGTCGCTCGTTGCTGTCCAATGAATCAAAATCGAAATCAATTGCCCGGGCCCACAGTTTGCCGCGAATGTGCAGTGGTGGGTCAAAGGTGGTGCAAGGTGGTGCAGGGGTGGCCTAATGCGGTCCTGGGGTCCGGGTCCTGATACCGTCATTACGGCCACATTGCGGCAGAGCTCCGGCAGCACACAGGCAGGCAGCCAGGCAGCCAGGCAGCCAGGCGGCCGGCTAACGACGTGGGCAACGGGTTAGATGCAATTACCTCTGCCTATGATGGCATTAATTATGCAAAACAACTAACGCTGCAGAAGGCGGTGGGTGCTTTTCTCTACACAGAGAAAAATCTGACCTTCTCATCTGAGTTAGAAATGTTCTTGAAAATAGAACGACATTTTTAAGTTGAAAAATGTTTTTATTTTGCTCTAGTTTAGTTCTATTAGTTTAGTCCTTAGTGTATACTTATCAAAAAGTTGTTAAGTAAACTCAATGTAACTTTTCTCTTCTCACCATTTCGTTCTTATATTGATACCAAATTGTACTTACACGGTTTTTAAGAACGAATGTTCTCAATCAAGAACTAATGTTCTCAATTCAAGAACAATGTTCTCAATTCAAGAATACCAAGAACATTGTTCTCAATTCAAGAACAATGTTCTCAATTCAAGAATACCAAGAACATTGTTCTCATTTCAAGAACGAATGTTTTCAATTCAAGAACGAATGTTCTCAATTCAAGAACGAATGTTCTCAATTCAAGAACGAATGTTCTCAATTCAAGAACAATATTCTCAATTCAAGAACGAATGTTCTCAATTCAAGAACAATGTTTTCAATTCAAAAACAATGTTCTCAGTTCAATAACAATGTTCTCAATGCAAGAACATTGTTCTCAATTCAAGAACAATATTCTCAATTCAAGAACAATGTTCTAAAATTGTTTTCTCTGTGTGTGTGTGTGTGAGAAGGGGGGGGGGGGGGGGGGGGGGGGAGGTGTCAGTGTGTGGTGGTGGCAAATCCGCGCGTGTGTGCGTTTGTGGGGGTTTGCGAGTTGCGAGTCGACTTCCTGGCGATTGCATGCACGGCACCACTGCCGTAAATGAAACATGCAATTTATTTTAACCCAAATCGTTGCCTGGTTTTTGTTTTCTGCCCGTTATGCAATTACTTGCCATCCCATATCCCATATCCCAGCGGTGCGATAAGTACAGCTTTGTCTGGCGATTGAATGCTCAGCTCACGAATACCAAGCCCCCCAATTCGCGTTTTTCGTAGCTCACTTCTTTGGGGCCTCTGCGTTTAGTCTAGTTTAGTTAATATTTTGCAGATTTTCACCTATGTGCAATTAAGCCTGCCTTCGGCTTTCACAAACACACAAAAACACACAGGCACACACACACACACACCCATTAAACGGAGTGCTCAAGGATTAATTCAATTATGGGGGAAAATTGTCGCTAAGCGGATTTTCATGCAGTGCATGCAAAACTCTTGCAATTTGGGTTAAAAACCATTTTGGCCAAGAAAAAACCCGCACAGACAACGAAAAAAAATAAAAAAACAAAACGGGGAGGTGAAAATGCCGCAGACAAAAGCACCCTGCGATAAAGGAAATGCTAAGAAGAGAGAGCAGAGGGGAAAAACCGAAAAACGAAAGCGAAAAATGTAATGAAAAGTGAAAGTGACTAAGATGTTTTTCCGAGCTGTTGATGACGTGGGCGAGTAGTAATGTTGACAAAAGCAACAACAATAATGGCGGAATTGTTACGTTTGCCAAATGAAAATGGCAGCACGCAAAATGGCGAGAACTGAATTTGGGCTAAGAGGCGGAAAATGCGGAAAAGCCGGGTGGAAAAGGGGCGAAAAGGAGAGACCGACGAAGAGGATGACGATGAAGATGGCGAACGAGGCGAAA